ATCTCCGTGCCCACCTGACAGTGGCTTACATCGGCTGTTAATTTTGTTCCCATAGCAAGGGGTTTAGAGATGGACTGTCTACTGAGAAGACAGCTCAGTGATATAATAGGTGTCCAAACCTGTCCTTCCATTCAAGATGCTTACCTCTTTCTCCTGAGGGAGCCTTACACTTATCTCCTCCTGGTTGCCAGACACTTTCCAGAGCTCTAGACCATGACCCCTATATGGTGATATATTGTGCACCCCAATAAAGTTTATCTGGGGATCAGAGGACAGAGCCAGTCACTAGATTAGACATAGAGGCCAGTGCACACACTCTTAATCCTAGCACTCGGGAGGCAGAGGTCTGTTTGGATCTCTGTGAGTTTGAGGCCACACTGGAAACAGAGTCAGGCAGTGGTGGCACACACCTTTGATCTCAGGACTTGAGATCTCATGTCTTTGCTTCCTTGCTTGAGAAGGACACACACCTTTAATCCCAGGAAGTAATATGGCAGGATACAGAAAGGTATATATAAGACGTGAGGAAACAGGAAGTCGCTCTCTTGAGCTAAGGTTTTGCTAGAGGTAAGACGTGGCTGGCTTTCTCTCTGATCTTTCAGCTTTCACCCCAATATCTGGCTCTGGGGTTTTTTTTTAATTAATAAGACCATTTAGCAATTCAAGTTACACCTCTATCTAAGTTCCAGGCCTGAAGAAGTGAAAGAAACAGAATGGCAAAGAACTTTCTCCTTGTGAAGGGCCTCTGTCCCCAGTGGCCTCCCCCACCCCCCACCTTCACCGTACAGAAATGGGTCCCATGTATCCTACTACAAGAGCGATGGAAACACACAGATTTTCCTCCAGCTGTGTCCCTCCCCTGCACGTAACAGGGACTCATTAGTTCAGAAGGGACATGGCCATTGGTGGACACTGCATGGTGCGATCCTGTGCTATGCTTTGCCTCCAAGGTGAAGCCTGAGGTTTCCACTATGTAGACAGAGTAAGTGAGGCACAGTATGATTGAAATTCTTCCCCAAGATGGCACAGTTAACGGGTGACACTTTGGCCTCCTGGCTTTCGGGGTTATGGTTGATTGCGTGATGGTTTGAAATGGGCTGATGAGCTATTTTATGATATAGGTTTGTAGGCGCATTTATGATAACTGCCATAAAGTCCTTGTTGGTGAGACCTTTCGCCACTATGACAAGAGCTGAGGAAGTAACGTAAATAAGGGAAGATTTAGTTAGTGTGGCTCCAAGTTCCAGAAGTTTCTGTCCAGCCGATTGACTCCATTGCTCCATGAGGCTGAGCTCTGTGGTGGGGAGAACATTTTAAAGGCATTCACCTTGAAGACAGGAAACAGAGAGACAGATGAACAGTGGCACCGGGTACACTTTCCTCTGCTAGGCTCCGCCTCCTGACATTTCCCGAACCTCCTAGAATGGTGCCACCAGTTTGGGACCAAGCTTTCAATAGATTGACATTTCATATTCAAACTATGAGACAATCTTTGTCATGATTCCAACATCTGGTGCATCTAAGTACTAGATCCTACTGACTGTCGCTTTTTGTCCAAATGTTGTCCTGCCTCTGGATACAGCCAGTAACTTTGCCCTGTCTCCTGGTCGTTTGGACTGTTGCATCAGGAAACTTGAGCTGAATAAATCTGTATTGGCAGTCAGTTACCCTGTATAGTGGTAGGTTAGGTTCTCACATCAATGACAACTTTCCCTTTGGGGATCTTGCCATGTTATCTTTGTCTGTTCTCTTACCTTATTCTCTTCCTTCTGGTATTTTCTGAGGGGACAGAGGATACTCCCCTGGGCCACATATTGTCATTAGGTGAGCTTCTGGGGAGGGTCAAAAACCAATGGACCCTAGTCCTTTATGCCACTAAATGGAAGGCAGGGGGCCTCATCTGTGAAGAGAGGAAACTGGACCCCCAAGTCAGGTTCTGAAGCAGGGCTAAGGTAGCCTGTTGTGGTCACTGCTCATCATAGTCCCTCCCAAGTGGCTGAGGGACGTGGGGAATTCTTTGTGTCACTTCCTATTGAGATTGCTTTGACAATTTTAAAATTGCTTCTAATTTTAAAGTATTTATTCTCTTAAAAACCACAAAACTCTTTGACTCAGATCAAAATTCCAAATTTCAATTTTATTTTAGAGATACTGCTCTAAGTGTGTAAGTAGAGGAGTGATCATATCTGCACCATATATTTATCACCATAAATACAGAATGTTGGTAGGCTGATATTTGTGGAAGAATTATCTTTAAAAATCATCTGTCCATCAGTAGACAGCTAGCAGTCATGCTGTGCATGTCCTGTAGTCATCAGACAGGATGACAGAGATCTCTGCGGGCTGCAGTGAATGTTTGTCTCCCAGGAGCTCACCACATGGCAGACTCCACTGTGTACTGTGTGTGCTGAATCCAAAGAACTCACTGCACTGATTTTGTTACTCCCTCCACCAGGTGTGGACCAGCACTGAGCCTGATGGAGGCAGCCTGCCCAGGGTGAGGCAGCCAGAAAGTCATGCTTCTCCCAGGAACCCCAGTCAGACATCTGCTTAACACCCCCACCCCACCCCCCACCCCCCCCCCTCTGCCGCCGCCGCCGCCGCCGCCGCCACACACACATAGTGTACTGTGCCATACACTCAGTCTTGTGCACACACACACACAGAGTCATATACTCATTCATATACACACAGAGAGTCATGTACTCACTCATGCACACATGCACAGAGTCATATACTGAATCATATGCACACAGAGAGTCATATCAGCAGTCATACACAGAAAGAGAGAGTCATATACTCACTCATGCATACATGTACATATACTCAATCAAATGCATACAGAGAGAGTCACACTCAGTCATATGCAGACACACAGAGTCAAATACTCAGTCATATACACAGTCATATAATCAGCCATGTACACATGCACAGAGTCATATACTCAATCATATGCCCCCAGAGAGTCACACTTAGTCATATGCACACACAGAGTCATGTACTCAATCATATACACACATACATGCTCACTTGTACACACAGAACAAGTCAGAAACATCGCATAAATCATTAATGACCATTGCTTTTGCAGACTGGGCTTGAGAGCAAGAGGAATTTGACCTTTTATTCTTTATATTCTGTGCCATAGATCTTCACTTTAATGTATACCACCCTGAATCCATCTAAAAGTTTTCAAGGTCTTTAATTTTTTAAAGATTTATATTATTGGTTGTGAGCCTAGCCTTTAGCGGCTGAGCCATCTACACAGAGAAACCCTGTCTTGAAAAACAAACAAACAAATAAAGATTTATTTATTTTTATTGTATGTGTGGTGTTTTTCCTGCATGTGTTTATATGTACCTCCTGCACGTCCAGTGCCCACAGAGACCAGAAGGGGGGCCAGACAGATCCTAGATGTCTGTGAGTTGCCACGTGAGTGCTGGGAATGGAATCTGTGTCCTCTGTAAGAGCAACAAGTGCCCTTAAACATTGAGCCATCTCTCCAGCCCTGTTAATACTTAAAAAAAAAAAAAAAACTAGTTCACATAAGTGAGCACTGAAGTAGAAAGAAACTTAAGTCTTCACAATCGCAATCCTAACTTGCAAGTATTAAGTTTTCACACAACAGCAAGGTGTACAATAAGGACATTAGGACACAAGAACAACGCCTTGGCTGTGAAGGCTGCTGAGCGTGTGAGGTTCTGGGATCACACACACCAACTGATGGTCGTCGATAATAGCTCCACTCTTAACTTCAACCAACCCTCTGGAACACCGCCACCCCGCTACACACACACACACACACACACACACACACACACACACACACACACACACAATGTGGCTTTTGAAAGCTCTCTGCAGATGACCTAGCACGATCAAGGTTCCCTTTCCTCTCCCGCTGAGGGACAACAGACGATACTATCACATCTGTCCACCCTGCAGCTGTCTAATTTTTATGTCCCTGTCTCTATTTTTGTGGACACCGGAACTGACTTGGAAAAGCTGTCCCTAAAAAAACAGAGGTCACTGTTTGTTTGAGACAGGGTCTCTCTCTGTAGCTCAGGCTGGCCTGGCTGGAACTCAATCCTAGCACAGGTTGGTCTGAAACTCTCAACAATCCTCCTGCCTCTACCTCCCAAGTGTTGGGTTTTGTGTGTGAACCACCACACACCTGACTAAGCATATTTCTTGTTTAGTTGTTTCTAAATAGAGCAATGGGGAGCCAGGTTAGAGTGCTCTGGTGCTGGGGGCGGTGAGTTCTCTCAACATCCAGGGCAGTTCAGAAGGACTAGCTGGGCTAAATCCCCTAAGGGCTGAGGAGGGCCGCTGGGCTAGAGAGAAACTGGCTGGCCTTGAAGAGCCTGAAGCCTGCAAAATGCATTGGCTCTCATCCTGATCTGAAGACCTTTCCCATCACCATGTCTCTCTACTCTACTTGCAAAGAGGTGGAGAGCAGCCGACCCGAGACCTACTGGACTTTTTTGAGTAGTTAAAGCCCGTCTCATTTCCTGATGGTTGGACTGCCCATGGAGGGGTTTTCTGGGTCCAGTTGCATCCTGAAATCTGAGGCCCTGGGGGATGCATAACTCTGGCTGGAAACCCTGGGCTCACAGTCTCACTGACTAGTCGGTGACTCTGGGCAGGGTGCTTTTCTGAGCCTCAGTGTCCTTATCTGTGACGCCATCTCCTTGAAGAGTTAGAATGGGTATTCGAGGAGATGCAGCGCTCCCTGAGGACGTGCTCTGCCTGCGGGTCCCTCCTCTGAGGCACCTGGGTGGAGTGGTAGAACTGGCTCTTCCCATCCTCTCCGCCCTCTCGCCCCCAACCATTTTGGGGGACAAGGAGGCTCTGTCCTCCACACTGCACTGGCGCCTCTCAGGAGGTCCCCAGGCTTCGGCTCAGTGACAGGCGTGCCAGAACACCCGGGGATGCACAGCACGGTGATCCCGGAGCTGGGCGGGTCGGGGAGTAGCCATGTGATCTGAGCAGGCGGCAAGCTGGGCAGGTCCTGTGCCACGGCTGCCTGGCTCCCTGCACTCCAATCTGTCTAGCTCAGTGCGCCCTGACCGGACACGGGCCTCGGTGCTCAGTGCTCGGGGTTTCTCTCTCAGGACCTAAGGGCAAGGAGCAGAGCCCAGGCCTCAAGAGCCAAAGCCAGGGGCTGCGAGTTCCCAGGAGCGAGGCTGGTGAGTGCATGGAGAACCTGGGGCTTGCAGGACCCCCGGGAGAGGGAACCCAGCTCAGGGAGGGTGCAGTTCCACCCTCCGGCTTAGGTCCGTGCTGGTGAGGAGAGTGTTCATTCAGCAAACCCCAAACTCTAGGCTGCTTCTGGATGCCTCGATCACAGTGGGCTACATCCTTAGGGAGCCCGTTTGGTGTTAAACAGTTGGTTTTAATCAAAAGCCTCGTTTGAGGTAAAAAGCTGGCGCCCCGGGAGACTTGGACTGGAGCCCAGGGTGAGAGGCTGTTTGGAGAGAGACTTCCTCCTGGCTGCCCAGCTGGTCTTGAACAAGCAAGAGCATGAAAGAGGCACCTGCCCTCCTCCAGATCGCTGATAGCACCAGAGTTAGTGGAATCTTTTTTTTTTCTGGACCATAGGTTCCCTGGGTGAAGATATGGAAAGAAAGGTGGGTGGGCTGTAGGCGTGGCCGTCATCTCCACCACGGTTTCCAAGCCTGTGAGGGAGCTGAGTCTCACAGACCCAGGGAGATTTCACAGAGGGCACACCTGTATCCTACTGACCTGAACTAAAAACGAGGCTCTTGGCTTTCATCTGAAATGGGTTGGCAAGTTTACCTGTCCTGTTTTCTTGCAGTGTGGTTGTTCACGTTTCTTTAGGAGGGCTTTGTGTGATAATGAGGGTTCAAGACTTCGGTAGATGCCCAGGCCATAAATTCTCAGGAAAAGGGATGCGTTGAAAAGATCAGGAGTAGCTGAGCAGAGGGCTGCTGCACCCCTGCTGCATCCCTTCTGGGATGCGTCATTTGACACCCATCCCCCAGTGGACTACTGGGCCTTAGCAATACACAGCTTTCCTGGCCATGAGCACCACCCCTGCCCAAGTCTCCGAGGTGTCACTGTATGGAATCAAGCAGCACCAGGCAGGGGAAGGGGAGACATGCTCTTCCATCTCATCAGCGTCCCATCTCCATACTGGGGACCGCGGCGGCAGGTGCCTCACAGGACTGAGAACCTGGTCCAGGCACATGCACAAGAAGTCGGTGGGTCTTCCTGATTGAAGCTTTGGTGGCTCTGAGAAGCTGCTGAGCACTGAGGGGGGTGGGGTGGGGAGGAAGCTGGGGAGGGGCAAAGAGGTGCGTGTGCCCTGGTCAAGCGTTTAAAGCACCTTTTAGGGCTCACTAGCATGTTCTTTTCAAAAGCAACTTCTGAAAGAAGATCACACATACACACACACACACACACACACACACACACACACACACACACACACACATATGTACCCTGTACCCTACCACCTTGGTGCCTCTTAATTCTAAGCTCCCAGCATCATGCTGGGTTAGAGATGACCAGAGAGGCCATGGAGCCCAGCCGTTCATGGTCGAGACAGGGAGCCTGAGATCTTGAGAAGAGGGACCAGTCTGCAGCAAAGCTGGCCATGACTGAACTGGGGTGGAAGCCCAGTTGCAGGCCCTGCAGCTGTACTTGGTTTAGCTCTTGCCACAGCCTGGACCAGAGGCTGCATGCAGGTCAGAATCTATGGCCATGGGTAAGTAAGGCTCCCAAGAAACTGTTGAGAACAGAGATCGAGCTAGAAGAGATGGCAGGCACCCCGGCTCGTAAGAGCCTTCCCAGGGCTTTACTGGCATCTGGCACTTCTGTGGGGAAGCGAGTAGTGCTTCTGGGTGGCAGAATGCTCATCCTGTTTCTGGAGGCTGGAGTCCCCAGGACCTGCGTGGTGTGAGCCCTGTCCACACACATAACCATACCCAGAAGCTCTGGAGACAGCCCCCAAGGGGTCATAGCTGGCACATCTGCTTACACTTTTATCAACAGGACTTGCCTGGTCCACACAGCTGGTATCCCTGCCCCTGTCGGCTGGTATCTGTTGAGTTGTTCCCCGGTTGTTTGCTCACAGTCACTGATGTGCCAGCTTCTGGGCAGATGGCCCTAGAAGTAGATAAGCCAGGTCTTTGTCTACAAGTTCCCTTTCAATGTGACCGAAACGTTAATTCAAATCTTTAATAGCTAAAGACAACATTCCCTTGAAACTCTGCGGTTGGGTCTGAGTGGTCCCCCTTAGCTTTTATCTCTCTTTCCTGCGGGCCGCTCTTTCTGATGCCTCCCTGTTCCCCAATATAATCATTAAGTAACTAGGGACAGCTGGCATCTGGGTGATTTGAAATAGGATTAAAGCCACCACTGAGCGGTGGAGCAGAGAGAACTTCAGAGTGCTTTGGGGCTCAGGAAGCTCGTGACTGGGTTATCAGCACAGACAAGGAACAGTCAGAGCCCAGAGGCGTCGTCCTGCCTTAACACACACCCATCCCCCGCTGCCTAGCCTGGCACAGGGCAGCCTGGCCCTCCATGGTCTGGCACATTCCCTGCCCCTCACTATTGCAGGTACAGACATAGGAGCAGACTCATTCCTGAGGAGCAAGCCAAGCGGGGATGACAGGGGAGCACTGACTTGCTGGAGGCTGCAGACCAAGGGGCTGTCCTTTCACCCACTTCAAGTGTGCATGTCCTATCCTGGCCTGGGCTGGGCAGTGAAGCTGTCGGCATGCCCTCAAAATGCCACTGACTTAGTTTGTGCAATTTTAAAATACTGGCATCAAACCAATTCTTCATTTGATTTTAATTATTTTCTAGAAATAGTTATTTTAATTAAGCTTTATGCCCCGGCCTTGTATTAATTCACTTACTGGGAAGGTTTTATTGTGGTAGGTAAAGACACATACCATGCTGGGGACTGGCGCTCAGCCTCTAATTGTCCAATGATACACTCAACAAGTGTCGTCCTGTAGTAGTACCACCCTCCGAAGTTTCCATCAGACAGACTCAGAAAATGCTCTCCCTAGAGCCTCCTGTGCTCAAGGACATGGGACTTGATCCAAAAAGGGGCATCAGAGGAAAACTTCATAGGGCTTACGAACCAAAGGTGCCAACGCATTGTTCTTTGCTTAGTGATGGGTGTGTGTGCACGCTTTCCAAACACTGAATTCCACCCTTCCTGGATCTCGTAAGCAGAGCAAAGTGAACTTGGGATCATTCACAGATCCTCCAAGACGTGCTTTGTCAAGACAGATTTCCCAACTCGGTGTGGGGCGCAGATCACTTGCCCTCCACTGCTCCCCCTACATGTCTAGCAAGGCTTCACTGCTGATGGCCAGGCATGCTGTCCTACCACCTGTCTGGACGCTTCTCCTGCCTCATCCTGGCAGCATCCTAAGCAGCAAGTGTTCAGACTCCTCTCAGGCTCAGCCAACTCCCCGGCCCTTTTCCTCCTCCTGGCTTCAGGCATCATTGGCATGTGGCTAAGAAACCAAGTGACTCTCATTATGAAAACCAAGCATCATAGGAAGAGAAACAGCCTCAACCTGGGCTGGAGGGGTGCATGTCATCAGTATGCCATGGTCTCAACCTGGGCTGGAGGGGTGCATGTCATCAGTATGCCGTGGTCTCAACCTGGGCTGGAGGGGTGCATGTCATCAGTACGCCGTGGCCTCTGGATTTGGTACCAACATGTGTCAATATTGTTGTACATCCACTTACTGGCACTGAGCATCCTCTGAGAAAACATAATGACAAATATGTATGAGAATTCCTTGATACAAACTCATTACTTTGTATGCTAACCTGAAAAATTGATTTTTAAAAAAGAATTCAAGCTATGAGGATGAGAAAGAGGTGGCTTCTCCTCTGGCTTTCCCTTCACACTCAGGAGTTAAGTGCCCATGGACTTTGACTTCTGCTTCAGGAGGTGAGGCAGGGGGAGCCCTCAGCTGAGGGTCACGCTGCTCATCTGTTCCAAGAATAGAACTTGAGTGAATACGGGCCGTAAGACACTGCTTTAAAATGATGAGAATTCAGAATGAATGAGCCCCAGTCACCCGTCTACTGAGAACTTCTTGTTCTGTTCTTTAGAAGCCAGACACCACGTGTTCTGAGGGGGGCGCCTGAAGAATGGACTGGCTCCTCGCGGCCCTTTCCAGCCCCCGCCAACCAGGCACCCTCTAAATACATTCCTCAAAATCACCACTGTGCTGGAGATTGGGGATATTGAGGAGTGAGTGAAAAAATACTGAGAAATTATCTTTCACCAATGTGAAGACCCAGAATGTGGGGGGCTATTCTGGTTGGCAGCCACACAGAAAGTTGGGGGATTACTCTGCTTGGCAGTGGTGGACTCTGGGAATTCAGTTTAATAACATCTGCCTTCTTGTCATTAACCTGTTATTGCTCACTTTTCTCCTTGCTGTGGAAAAAATACCTGAACAAAGGCCACTCAAGGAAAGGTTTAGTTTCGTTCACAGTTTGAGGATGGCATGGGGGGAGGGGCATGTCAGTGACAGTGACCGTATCTGTGGCAAGTGTATGAGACAACTGGTCACGTTGCACCCACAGCCAGGAGGCAGAGATGGACGCTCACACTGAGCTCAATTTCTCCTTTTGATTCAGTCCAGGACCCCAGCATGTGGGATGGTGCTGCCCACATTCAGGGTGGGTCTTCCTTCCTCCATTAACCCTCTCTAGAAATGCACCCACAGACACGCCCACAGGTGTGTCTCCTAGGGGATCCCGAATCCAGTCAGGCTGACAATGACCGTCACAGCCTTTTTTGTTGCTAGTTTTGAATTTTTTTCGTGAGACATACATATCTCACTATGTAGCCCAGGCTAACCTCCAGCCAGAGGTCTTCCTGCCTCAGCCAACTGAGTGCTGAGGCTAAAGGCCATAATTAACCTCTGTGTGGTCAAATTAAAGTACTTCTCTGGCACAGAACCAGTTCTTCTCAAATGTTCACACTGACTGCTTCTGACTGGTGGGTCTGAAGGAGGGTGTATCTCAGAATTTGAAAGCTAGGTGGAGACTTCCAGGTGGTTTGCAGGTTCCCCATGAGAGCACTTGAAAATGGGTCAAATCCTTAAGGAAGACTTGCCAGGTTCTCCCAGTGCTATTCAACTCTCAGTCACCCAAAACAGGACTTTCTGGCATCTAAACATGGCCCTCTCAAGGACTATTTGGTTCCTGGAGCCATCTGGACTAAGGGTCACCCATGGGCTTCCCGGCAAGACACTGAGGAGCAAACAGTGAGGAGCATAGAAAGGACCTATGTAACAGAGGCAAACAGAGTTACTGTCCCCGTGGAGCTTAACAGTCACATGACCTCACTGACCACTAGGAAGTATGAAGAAACTTCAGAAGGGTGGAAGTAGGGAGTGACCAGCAAAGGAGTAGAGCCCACCATGTGGTCAGAGACACCCTCTGTTGGCCATGGGTGGAGCTGTGCCATGCACTCAGTGAGGATGCATGAGGGAGGGTCCTCCACTGTCAGTGATGCCTAGACAGTGTCACATTGATATGACCTGTGAGAACCGTGTGGCATCTCTATCCAAAAAGCCAACATGAGCGCATCCCTTCTCTGTTCATCTACACCATCACCATCATTGGCCTGCCTCACACCCACTGCCCACCCCACAGCGGTCCTGTCACAGAGCTTGCAGACTGAATCTGTTAGTCACTACTAAATGAATGACCCACCCACCCACAGTACTGCCACCCACAGGAATCTATGGACTAGCTCGGTTCACTCTAACATGCTCACAGCTGCCTGCGGAGCTGGCCAAAATGCAGCTTCCTGGTCTGCAGGGCTGGGCAGAGCCTGAGAACCTTCATCCTAACCAACTTCTAAAGCAGGCTACCAGTGTGAACCACACTTAGAGTAATATCCCCAGGTTCTGCCGTCTTTCCGTCTGACGTCTGAATCTTTCTCTCTGTGTCCATTAACATTGACGTTAACAAAGATATCAGGTTTGGAGAACTTCAAAATCTGAAGTCTCCATGTGGAATCCATGTGAAGGTACAAATACATAATATCAAAACTCAGGAGGCTGAGGCAGGAGGATTGAGAGTTTCATTCTAGTCTGGGTCACACAGCAAGACTATGCCTTAAGTAAAATTAATTAATTAATTTTATTTTGATTAATTAATTAATTTTATTTTAATTAATTAATTAAAATCTGGTTTGACTTCCACTCCCTTGGGTCATCTAGAAACACAGCACACCAGTGCTCTCACGGGCCTGCTTCTCTGACTGCAAGGGAACCATCCAGAATCCCGGGAGCCCTGGCTGTTGCCATTGTCAGTGACCCTAACACACACTGGGCACAAGAATTCCCACGGGACAGTCCCTCAGCTGACCTCTTCCAGTGAGCAAAGTCTGCAGCCCTAACCACCTTGCCCATTCAGGTGTTCTTCCTTTAGTCTCACTGTGAGCCGTGCGTGAACATTCCTGAAGGAAGCACATTGGGCGTCATACTAGTGTGACATTCCTATGGGGGTCTCTCTGCCATGTGACAACCCTAAGCAAGCAGGCCCCATCCCAGAAGACATATATCTTTCGGATGATGAGGAATCGTCTCACCTTTCCTATGGCGTTTGTTACTTCTTGTTATGAAAAAAGCAACTTAAGGAAGGAAAAATTGATTTTTAGCTCAAAGTTGGAGGACACAGTCCATCAAGTGACTAGTCTGGTGGCAGAAGTATCTGGCAGGTGGTCACATTGAGTCCACAGTCAGCATGAGGACAGAAGTGAATGCTAGTGCTCAGCTCTCTTTCTCCTTTGTCCTTTTTCTTCAGTGAGGGACCCCAGCCCATGGGATGGACTGCCTACACCCAGAGTGGATCTTTCCTCCTCCGCTAAACCTCTTGTAGACAGACCCAGAGGTGTGTCTTCCTGATCATTTTAAATCCAGTCACATTGACAGTGGAGGTTACCCATCATGCCTGCATGGGGAGCCGGTCTCCAAAGCACCCCAGCTCTCGGAGACCAGCATTGTCAGCTCTGAAGGTCGTGGGGAATGGCCCCAGGGACTCAGAGATGGACCAGACTTGACTCAGAGATGGACCAGACTTGACTTGTTTTCCTCTTTTCCAAGCAAATGTAATGGGGAACCATTGGCATGAACCTCACAGTAGGAACAGTGAGGGTGGCTGTCTATGCCCCAGGGGCAAGAACTAATTCCCTTACACATCTTACTTTATTCCTTTAACTGTGCAAAAATTTATTAAATGGCCTTAGCCCCAGACAGATATTCATCCATTTAAAAAAAAAAAAAAAAAAAACCTCAGTGTACATACATCCTGAGGAATCCACGGGTATTTTTTTTTTTTTTTTTTTTGACAGGGTTTCTCTGCCATAGCTTTGCGCCTTTCCTGGATCTCACTTGGTAGCCCAGGCTGGCCTTGAACTCACAGAGATCCACCTGCCTCTGCCTCCCAAGTGCTGGGATTAAAGGCGTGCGCCACCACCGCCTGGCTTTTTTGAGGGGGGGGTGGTTCACGGGTATTTTTATGATCTGCCTCGTACTCTGTGACTTATTTGGTGTCCCTGGGGCCTCCTGGAGTTGATTGGTTGTGATCCTGTGACTTTCCAGGTGTGGCCTGGATGAGGCACAGAGATGGGGAAGAAACTGGACCTCTCCAAGCTCACAGATGAGGAGGCCAAGCATGTATGGGCCGTGCTTCAGCGGGACTTTGACCTCCGGAGAAGAGAAGAAGAAAGGCTTGAGTAAGTGTCTAGCTAAGCCATGGAGTTCAGGTCCTCTGATGTCCCAAGCAGCTGTCACCTCAAGTGTCCTGGGTGGGTATGTGGCCAGAGGTACAGGGTGAGCAGACTAGATGGCAAGCTATGATCTGGGACCTGGCTCCCCTTCCAAGCTTGTGTTTTTCTCATCATGAAAACGAGGCTTTCTGTTCTCTGAAGAGATCCTTTGGGCTTGACTGGGCTTCTTGGTGCTGTCTCATGAGCCACGTGGTCCCGAGGCCCCACCTTGAAAAGAGAAAAAGAGCTAATGGGGCCGTGTGGACAATGTGGTCTGGCTCTGAATCACTTGGACACTGAGATTGAAGAGATTCAGGCAGAGGCTGGCTTCTATCCTGTTCAGTGATGTGGGGGGCACCCTTCTTCCTGGGTGACCCCAGCTTATGTCCCTCATTCTCCCCACCACCTGAGCCAAAATTCACCTCATTGCCTACACCTCCCTTGCCTCCCTTCTGCCTCTGCCCACAAGGAAAGGTTATCAGTCTGCCTGGCAACTATGCATCTTCTCTCTGTGTCTTTTGTGGTCAGCTTATTGAGAAGAGCAGAGGAGACCCGAGCAAAGACTGAACAGAAGCAAAGGAAGGCAACTAAGGGCAGCCTGAAAAATGCAAGGGGTAGGAGCAGACCACACAGGCTCTAGGGATTGTCACATAGATAGAGGTCTTGGCGTTGGGAGACATGGCTCATCTGACCCCAGTGTTTAAAGCCGGGAGGAAAGAGTGTTGTAGGAGCTTCCTTCTTAGATAGAGCCCAGAGAAGTGGCGATCAGGCAATGAAGAGCCTCTGGGTCCCAAAACAGAGTCTAGGACCAGTTGACAAAGACAAGCCCAGTTCAAGGCCGGCACACAGTAAGAGGCTCCAGTATTATGGGAAGGGGCCGATCAGCTCCATCTCTCGGAGTCGTCTCCACTCTCCCTCCTGCCTTGCCCTGCCTGTCACCCCGGGGTCCTGATCGTGAATCAGCCTCATCTTGAGCCAGTTCCTTCACCAACACCCCTGCTTGGCTTGGGGCAAAGCCCGCCCCCAGCACAGGCCTGATGCACACAACAGCCTGGACCCACTTTCCAAGCAACGGACACCCAAAGCTCCATGAGTTCCCTTTCTGCCCAAGCGCAGGACTGGTACTTTGCCCATCTCCAGAGCAACCTGGTGGTGGCCAGCCTTTGTTTTAAATGAATGGAAACTTAGACCCTCATCCACACTGACATGCAAGGGAGGGAGATTTCATATTGCAGCGAGCAAAGCACAGGGTGCCAGGCAGGCACTACCTTCCCAGGGACTTGGGAGAGGGCAGGCCCCGCCTCCATCCCAAGTTTAGTGAAATCCAGAGAGTTTCTGGATCACTCCCTTCTAACATCTGGCTCTCCTTATTCCACGCTCCTTTGGTCATTTCTCCCTGTGAAGAAAAAACACCTCCCCCCAGGGTTTTGTTTTTTTGGTCCCCCCCCCCCTTAAGCACTATTAAGTACTTCTAAGCACTCTTGGATAGGAAGCATCTTGAGAGGACCTCCCCAGCTGGTGAGCTAGCCACAGTCAGGGTACCTGCCCTTTGCACAGAATGAGCCAGCAGGGGTTGATGTAGCTGCCCCAGGATGCTGTGTCTCGCAGCAGCCGAGGGACTAGGGGATGGGTTTATTAAAAGTCCAATGCCTATCAGGTGGGGAGAGGCTGTGCACAGCACTCACATCATAGAGGACGGGCCTGGCATCTGCAAAGGGACGGCGATGGAAAGTCAGCCGCAAAATCACTGAGGCTTGAGTGGCCCACTGGCTTTCACTGTGCAAACAGTTCATTATAGCTGGCCGCACACCCGGGGGACAGTCGTGCAGCAGAGAGTTGACAGGAGGATTTCGCATGGTTCTTCTGGAGGGTGTTGTTCGGTCACGTGTTCGCTGTCCTGGGAAGTCTACTGCTACAGGGTAGCCCTGCTTCTCCCTGTGACTAGCCTGTTTGCCAGTCCAACCTGACCCCAGGAAGTAGCAGGGTGCAGGGCCTAGGTCCGGGTCCGGAGGCAGGTTGTGGGGAGCACCGTGAGGTCACAACAGGAGGATTAGGCTCTGCTCACACTGGGCGGGGCTGACTCTTTGAAAAGGCAAGATTGAAACAGGCACAAAATCAAAACCAGGTTCTTGGTGGCAAAACTGGTTCCGCAAAGTGAGCTAAGATAAGAGTCCCAATCCTTCTTATGTCCCCTCATTCTCTCCAGCAGTGCCTGTCATGAAGCAGCTGTGGCCAAAATCCGTCTTGCAATTCACAGGCGCAGCATACCTGTGATATAACCTGTGATGCCCCATGACACTCGCTACTGGTCGGTGCTTGGGTGTAGCAGAGGTCGCCCTTCAGGGTAGAGGGACCCATGAGTAGTGTTCTTCCCGGCTTGTTCATGGGATAAAATACCCATCGGGTCTCCCTCACTGGCTGGTGTCAGGTGCTTTTGTGAGCAACCTGTCAATCACTCGAAGAACAAATTCATCCTGCACTGTTTAAATTTCTGCATACCAGAGTGTGTTTGCAAACCTCACCCTGATGCCTTCCACTGATGAAGAAGAAAGAAAATACAGCCTGATGAAGTCACCATATTGACCTCCCAAAGGCAGGTGACAGAAGCCACCACCCACATGTGGCTATTTGAATTTACAGAAGTTAAACAAGTAAAATGTTAAGTCCTAGGTCTCCCTAGACACTTTTCAAGTGTCCCCAAGCCACGAGCAAATGTTGTGGCTGCCGTTGTTCCAGCCCCCAAAATGGCAACTTTTAACAATGAGCTTCATGATGGATTTCTTGGCATCCATTAAAAATAACTGTAAAAATAAACTGACACCTGACGTGGGCAGCTGACAAGGCACTGTTGAGCAGAAAAAGCAGGTTATGGAAGTGTAGTTTTATCTTTAAATATATTAGATATAATAATGGCAGTCTTAGCACTCCCAGAGCCCTTTCTTGGGAGCTTGTGTGTGTTGATATCTAGCCTCTTCCTTTTCTGGCTCCTTTGCTGGTGATGTCTAGACTTGTCATATACTCACCTTTGGAGGGTTCAGTGCCCTGAGTTCGACCCTTCTCTTTCTTCTGTACGTATTCATTCCCCTATGATCATGTCCAGCCTTAAGGGGTTTGGTTTATTGTTTTGTTTGGAGGAAGGGTGTTGTTTCGCACTGCTGAGGACTGGATCCAGGGCCTTACTCAGGCTACTCTACCATTGAAATACGTACCTAGCTATGCCCAAGGTCAAATGGCATGGCCCAACCTGCAGAGGGGGGAAAATTGTCCAGACTGTTTCCCAGTATGGCAGCCATTCACCCACTTCCATGGCTATGAGTATTTGACAGGACTATTTTGTTTGATTTTATTCTATACTTCTTAAATTTGTATGAATATGAGTGTTTCATATGGATATGTGTATGTGTACCACCTGTGTGCAGTACCTATGGAGACCAGAAGAGGGCATTAGATCCCCTGGAACTGGAGTTGCAGACAGTTGTGAGCTGCCATGTGGGTGCTGGGAACTGAACCTGGGTCCTCTGCAAGTGCTCCTAATCACCAAGCCATTTCTCCAGCCCATTTTATTTTATTTGGAACTTAAGTAGCACCTATGGCCAGTGGTCAGTGGGTGTCACAGTAGGCCTGCACAGCAAGCCAAGACCCTTCTAAATTGTTGATTCAGTGAACCCCTGTTTAGCCCTCAGATTGGACATCTGGTCAACAACTCATGGTTTGTCTCCACCAAGATCTATCCCCATCTTAGTTACTAAAGTCAAGCTCCCAGGAGTCACGTTTGTTCGTCTCCCTTCTCACTCATGTACCCACAAGCCCTTTAGAATACGGGTGCAACATCCGTTTACCGCCTTCAATGCTAGTCCCAAGTCAGGCCACACCAACCGAGGGAGACTCCTGCCCCCTCAGTCCTCCTTCTACCGCTGCCCTCTTGTCCATCCCCCCACAGACCCCAGTGTCATGGCTTAAAAACTGGACCCCAAGTCATGTCACACTCCTATTCTCTAAAGAACATTCCATCATGCTTAAGGAAGCAGCTGCCTGCTCACTGTGACTCGTACTCCCCTCCCCCCCTCTCACCCACCCACCCACCGTGAGGTCCCACAGCCTCACGGGACAGCAGCTGAGTGGCTGGCTGTTGGCCTCTTCTGTCCTCACTGCACAAGCTTGCTGGGTGTCACCAGTGTCTGTCACGGTTACTAGTGGGCTCTGCAGCCAGCAGGGTCACACAATGACACTTGAGCTCCGCCTGTGTGACCCCACTTCACCCCCAGGCGACCCTGTGATGTGGCTGCTGTTGTTCTGATTTGTGAAGGGGAAGGCTGGGAAGGAGACAGGCTCCCCAGATGTGAAGAACGCCCCGTGAGCGCTCGTGAGGAACGCCAGCGGGGGACAAGTAGCTGTGGTGCTTTATAGATGATCCTCATCCCTTTTCCTCCAGCTAGAATAACTCCCAGCAATGTCGTGTAAATGTATTAGGGTCCAACCTGGTCGGCTTCTCTGCCTACCTTCAAATAAGGTATTTGGTGACTAGTTTTCTCCTTCTTCCTCCTCCTCTTCCTCCTCCTCTTCCTCTCCTGCACCCTCTGTTCCTCTTTCCCCTTCTCTTACCTCTGATGGGGATCTCACTATGTAGGTCAGGCTGGCCTCAAACTCAGGATCCTCTTGCCTCAGCCTCCTCAATGCTGGGTTTATAGGAGTATGATACCATGCCCAGCTCTTTTCAGTCATGTTTAATCTATTAGCTACACACATATATACATATCACACACACACACACACACACACACACACACACACACACACACACACACATATACACACAGGCACACTAACATATACACACATATACCACACACCATACACACACACACACACACACACACACACACACACACACACACACACACACACACACACACACACTGCTCTCTCTTTCCTTTGAAGCTTGTCATAGAAGGAGCTGACTGCTTAAT